TATATATGTATTTCATAATATTTATTTACTCTTTATTTTAGTTAAGTCAAATCAAATAAGTTTTATTTATCGCTTAAATATACATGTATTTTCATAATATCTATCAAATTATATGTTGATTTCTAAAAAAAATATTAGAAAATAAAGTGTAACTGATAAATTTTTAGATGTTCATGAACATATATATTTTTATTATTTTGAAAATATATTTTATGTTATTTAAAAATATATATGAATGGGGATATTACTATATTGTGAACTTTCCTTTTTAATAAAGTCATATTATAGACATATAATTTCGTTTTTAATTTTTTAAATAAAATTTAGAAATATTTCCATTTTATTATATATGTTATTTAGAAAAAGGTAAAAAAGAAACTAAATAAAATAAAATTAATAATAATTTTAAAATCTAACAATTCATTAAGGGTATCTATGTAATCAACCATCATGAGAGTTAATGTGAGAGCGATACGTAAGAAACTGACTTCTCAAATAATATTATAGAGATTAGATCGTGAAAGAAACTGTGTCTATGATGCATTGATGCTTTGTGGTTTCCGTTGTTGTAACAGTTGAAACTTGCGATTAATGCTGTCTCTCGGAGGCAATATCTTCTCGCTACAGTGATCTACATCTTTTCTTAGGTTGCAAACGCCTTATCACTATGACCAAGTCTAATGATCAACAGTTGAATTGCAAGGAATCCTCCATGACATTTGCGTGGTTAATAGCTTTTTCTGTTCTATCTCGTTCTCTTTTATTCCTCGTTTGGAAAATGTTGTAGCAGATAAGATTTCGAAAACCTGACCCTCTTGGTAGCTCTTTCATGGAGTGAGAAAACTCTTTATCTTTTTCAAGTAAGGTTCCCAAAAAAGGCCGTGAAAGAAGTAGGCTCAGATTGGGTTTCAAATGAACCTGTTGTGGTTGTATTGATCACTTTGCTGCCTAATAATAATTTTGGGTCAACACTGATCCAACCATCAACTAAACTTAATATGAATGCCAAGTTACAAAAAATAATAGAGAATCTCAAAACGGAACTCAAAACTAGTTTAAGGTTTGTGGAAGAATTATCGGATATTCTCATTGTTTAATGAGGTTATATGCGAAATCATATTGAGAGAACTCTAACCTTATCCCTTAACTATTTTTTATAAACATTTCAACTTTTCAGTATTTGTTTATTATCTTGAAAAAACATTCCAATTGTGTGAAGCATGAAAAAAAACAAAATACTAAATAAGTAACTCAGTTGTGTTGTTTATATATATTCTATTAAAACGTAACTAGATTATGTCTTCATATATAAATTTACTGTTTTCTTACAATTTTCATTTTCCTTTTCCTTTTCTAGTGTATTTTAAACACTTTATTTATTGTATTTTCAAATAATTCAACATTATTTATCGCAGAATTACAAAACCGAAATTACCTATTTTAAATTGGTTTTATTATATTTCATCACATTTTTTTCTCTTCCTAACTACTTTATTAATTATCTTTACCATAGTAATTTGATAACATTTATTTTACATATTAACTATAGTAACTCAACATATTTAAATGAAATTGTTTTATTCGTCACAAGAATTCAAAACAATTAACAAATAATTTTTTATTTGTTTACATAGCCAATTAGGCATGGGCATTCTGATACTGTTCATGTACATGTTGTTTCTTTCGGGTATCAGATTTTTTTTTGAGTTTTGAAATTATACTTCTTTCGGATATTATTATTTTTGGATGAATTTTGAGTCGAGTCCTCCTTGATCCACATGGATCCGATTCTGATATATAATAATCCAAAATATTGAAAACAATATATCTAAAACGGACTTAGGATATTCATATAAAAAATAATCTTATTATCCGATTTGGTTCGAGTTCTTTGAATACAATTAGTTATATTGTAACACATTTAAAATATGTAACACTAATAATGAAAATAAGTATTATATCAATTTATAAAAACGTAAATAAATATCCGTGTGGTGCATGGATCAAGTTCTAATAGTTTTTTTTTTGGTCGAATGTATCTTCTATATTAAAACAAAAGTAAAAAAAACTTCTCACATTTTTTTAACTGATTACTTACATATTTTCTTTCGTAATAGTAAATAAACATCCGTGTGGGTGCATGGATCAAGTTCTAATAGATTGTTTTTTTTTGGTCGAAACTGTAATCTTCCATATTAAAACAGAAGTACAAAAAACTTACATATTTTTTTAACTGATTACTTACATATTTTCTTTCCTTTTAAATTAACTCTAACCAGTTCATTTATTATATTTTCCAAATAATTATAACTACTTCATTTATTGTATTTTCCAATTTCGATAGAATCTGAATATAATTTATTTTATATGTTAAATATTATAATTTGAAAGATTTAAATAAAATTGATTCATACAGAACAAGAATTCGAAACGATTACCAATATGTTGTTTTTTATCTATTTACATAATTAATAAGAAATGAGTATTAAGGTATCCGTTCGGATACGAATCATTTATTTGAAATATTGGGTTTTGAATTTTAAGTTAGATTCGTTTAGGGATTAAGAAGAACCCAAAAATATTTAAATAACTAAATATAATTATTTATATAGTGACACATTTAAATATATAACTTTAATCACTAAAAACAAATATTAATTTATAAAAAAATATTAATATTCGTATGGATGTGCGGATCAATTTTTAGATTGTTAAGGCAAAAGAAAAATAGATTGTGTTTAGCTGTTTATAAAGGGTGTCAATTAGAATTTTGAAATGGATTAAATGGTACTTTTTTGTCGACGTTAGCCCATTTGGGCTTCATTCAATGAAAGAAATGATACCATTAACAGACTGGATGCTTTTTCAGTTAAAAAGACGGTTTATTCTGTGTAAATTTTTTTTTTTCAAAAAACATTCCAGTGCCATAGAACCGATTAGGACGAATTAAAACCTAAAAAAATATCAGTATTTAATGGTTAAAAATTATATTCTAATGTTGACCTAATAAGAACCTGAGTTTGAGAGATCACATACACGTGTGTGTGATGTGTACGGAGGTTAGTGTTGTGTAGTATAAGACAAACAAAGCCAAGTAATCTTGTGTGCATAATTGCACATGTAATTATATGGTTCAACTTCTTGTTTGTTGATAGTACCTTTTGGTCCATTCTATTGTTACCCTTAAATTCATTTTTTATATTACACATTATTATACATCCTGTACTTAATATAATGTCTTCTCAAAGTCTCATTCATTGTAAAGAAACTTAATATATATCTTCCCTCTTTTGGATTGCCATCCCAGGCTCACACTTTCCTCTACCAACCCTTTGAAAACAATTTTTTCATTTCATTTTTTCGCTACCTATTTTTAAATCATTGATTCTAAACTACCATCTAATCATCCTTTGTATGATTTATACACAAGCTCAGCTGATATAATAAGAATGTAACGGCCAAAGAGCAACAATGGCTTTGTCAGGAAGACAGAATCAATAGCATGAGACGAGACCACTGAGAACCAACAACAAGAACATCTTTTGTCACTTCACCTTTGCTTACACCACAAATCATCCAACCACATTCACTTCCAATCCCATCATTGTCTCTAATAATCTATATTTTTGTTTATACAGTAATACATATTATTAAAGAATATGTTTGTTGGGCTTTAGACTAGCATTTGATTACTACCTAGTCCTAACGGTATAGTTTAGATGAACATTTTGTTGAATTTTCTTACCTATAAGAATAAAATTTCCAAGTTAGTTTTATGATATTTTAGTTTATTTATGCTGTTCAAAACATGTAATTTTCTCTCAATACTTTGGCTTCTTAAGAAATACTTTAAGAAAGTCACTTTTCTTATATCAAACACATTCGTTACTCTGAATTATAAACTACTGTTTGGACAAACTCCGAATGAAGAATCGAAATGAGAATTCAGAAAATGAGCCCCTAAAAATGATTTTTAACCCTCAACCCTAATTAAAGTTTACTTTTCGGCATCTGTTATGCCAAAAAAAATATACAGATAACTTGATTAAAATATCATTGGGGCTTATTGCGCTTTATGCTTCTTCGTCAAGACTCATATACACAGCTAATGATTATCTCATGCAATGATCATCCCTTTTCCACACTCTTTATTAATCTCGAAACGTCTCTCTTCTTCTTACTCTATCTCTCAAAAACAAATAAATAAAAGAACACTTCTTGGTTAGAATCATTGTGTTCTCAAAATTTCCAACCTTTAAGTGAGGCAAAGGAACACATACAATGATACCTACTTCAGAAGAAGGTAGCAATAAGATCCTTGTGGCAATCCCGTTGGACCGTGACGAGAGCCAAAATGTTCTATCTTGGGCCATCGATGTTCTTGCTAAACCAAATGATACAATTGTTGCTCTTCATCTTCTTGGTTAGTATATATACATAATTTCCTCTGTTTTTTTCTCCGCAGCTAATTAAAAGGATTGTTTTAATAGTCGGGAAACTAAATTTTCGTTGTTGCAGTTGGTGACGAGCCAAAAAAGATTCCGATGAAGAAGAAGAAGAGAGCTCAGATTCGTCGTGCCAAAGCTCATGTTATCTCCATGCTTGGAGAGTTCGCTTACACTTGCTGCCAGAACCAAGTACGACCAATTCTTTTTCTTCTACTAATTTTTAAGAGGATTTTTAAACCAAAGCCAACCGGATTTTGATAGCCTTACCATAAACAAACCTTGATTAGGTCATAATTTTTCTAAATTCAGAGAACTGAAACTTCAAATCCCTTAGAAAATTATAAAGTTTAAAACATAGGTTTTGAACAATATTAATTATGCTATCACAACGTTAGCAATATACATACATTACAAACTGCTCTATTCTTCTTCTTTTTTGGTCAAAACAAACTGTCGTATTCAGAATTTATTTTTTCTTAATTAATAGGTGAACTTGGAAGCCAAGGTAGGGTTTTGCTCAAACATCGGAAGAGGACTAATCAATGAAGTCAAGTCAATTTCTGCTCACTATCTTGTTCTTTCCCGACCAACCAGTCACGCATTCAGGTAACAAACTGGACATGTTCAGGTAACTCGTGGACCCAATTCATAATCCTTATAGTAATAATTCGTTTCTGCGTTTCCTTGATTTAGGACATGGAATGAGATCACAAGGTATGTCTCGGACTTTGCTCCGTCAAGCTGCTCTATTGTTTTTGTCGGAAATCAAAGGAAACCACGTAATGTTTGCTACTCTGACTCTGATATTTCTCGAGGTTAGATCATATATAAAAAATATCTCGATTATGTTTGGTTATTAGATTTATTTCGTCGGATGTTAAAAAGACAAACAAAATATGTTTTTGTTTCTCAGACATAAAGAGTGAGAAGTATTCACCTCGCAGCGTACTAAGCATTCTATCACGAGATCTGACTAGCTCCTCAGGCGATGATGCTTCAAGTTTCAGCAGTTCAGTGGTTTCTTCTAGCTTTGCTTCGCCTTCAGACAAACCCAAACATAGGCCGATGTCTCCCTACAGATTCATATCTTCTCTTATCATGAACTCCCCTTTGAGGAAATGGAGAAGAAACCAGACTAAGAACAACCCTAAACCTAAACCTCTAATTCAATGCTTTACTTACAACGAGATCTCTAAAGCCACAAATGATTTTGATCAAGGTGAGCATCTAAGAGACCAAAATATAAAACAGTACTGGATCAAGTGCATCAACGTCATCTATGTGTTTTTGGTTGAGTTGTAGAGAACATAGTAGGTATAGGAGGGTACTCTGAAGTGTACAGAGGAGATCTATCTGATGGAAGAAGAGTCGCAGTGAAGAGATTAACTAAAGAGAGTGGTGACATGAACAAGGAGAAAGAGTTTCTTACGGAACTTGGCATCATAAGTCATGTCTCTCATCCAAACACTGCTATTCTCTTAGGTTGTTGTGTTGAGAGAGGCCTCTACCTTGTCTTCAGGTTCTCTGAGAACGGAAACTTGTACTCTGCCTTGCACGGTAATTTAACTTCATATAACTTTTATTTTGTGATTATAATAGCATCATATTCTAAAGATAATATATAGTTTTAAAATTGAATAATTAATCCGAACAGAGAAGGAAAATGGGTCGTTGGATTGGCCTATACGGTACAAGATTGCAGTAGGAGTTGCTAGAGGGCTTCATTATCTGCACAAACGCTGCAATCATCGGATCATTCACCGTGATATCAAATCTTCCAACGTTTTACTTGGACCCGATTTTGAACCGCAGGTGAGCTTTCTTGTCATACAAGAAAATTCGATTTCCTTTATCTACATGTGTCAAAATTGGATGTGGTTATGGTTGAGCAGATAACTGATTTCGGATTGGCGAAATGGCTGCCTAACAAATGGACTCACCATGCGGTTATACCGGTTGAAGGAACCTTCGGTTATCTAGCACCAGAGTCCTTAATGCAAGGAACCGTAGACGAGAAAACTGACATCTATGCATTTGGTATTCTCCTTCTTGAAATCATAAGCGGACGAAGACCCGTGAATCCTTCTCATAAACACATTCTCTTATGGGTATGATTCTTGTCATACCTAGTTACTTGCCTTACAAGACATGAGATGAAACCCTTGGGTTGACTTATCTGTTGACATTTTGATCACTAACAGGCGAAGCCGGCGTTGGAGACAGGTAACACAAGAGAGTTGGTGGATCCAAAATTGCAAGATAAGTACGATGATCAACAGATGAATAGGCTTGTCCTTACAGCTTCACATTGTGTCCAACAGTCACCGATATTACGACCAACCATGACTCAGGTTGGTTACATGCATATTTTAATGTCGAATCGCTATATATTAGGAGCCACACGGTCTAAAAACCGGATTTAAATGGGGTTTGGTTTTGTGATTTTGCATTGTGTAATAAAGGTACTAGAATTGCTCACAAACGGGAACGAGGCTGAGGTTGCAAACAGCTGGAGAATGCCTATGGATATGACTAATGACGATAAGGATAATGATGAATGGGATGACTACTCTATGATTTTAGGATATGATGTTTCTTTGGATTCTTCCTTTTAATGTTTCTGGTCTAATCTCTACTATCTTTCTTGATATTCTTCTTTCTTTTTTAACTCCTTTGTATTTTTATGAGAATTTTTTTTTGTTTTGTTTTGTTTTTTTATAAAGGACTTTATGAGAACTGACTCACTGAGGGATTCATCTATTATGTAACAAGAATAGAAATAAGTTACTAAGCAAATTTCAAATAAAAGACCGTTTTAGTTTTTTTGCCTTTTGAAGAATGCTAAAAACATAATTTACATACAAAACTAAAACAAATATTGTATTGTTTTCACATTTTTGTAAGGAATTTTTCTTTTTTATTAACTTTTTTTTTTGTAAAGTTTCGACCGCCTAAGGTAATGGGCCATCCACGCCCGCTCTCTCGGTCCATAGGGCCATCCCGTTCCAACGATCACTCTGTTAATTTTCTAAGATTCTAAAGTTCTGTTTACTGACTCTGCAATCACCACGTAAACTTTCTTTATATTTTGGTTTCACTTAATATCGCAAATCACTTTTCGATAGATCACCTATCATTTGATTACTACAACTCAAGTACGCGTACCTATTAATTTTTCTCTGAATGTGCTCCCAAAAAAATAAGTACACTTTGGTAACATAAATAATCAAATAAATCATCTTAAACATTTACATATATTACAATTCGGGATGTTGCAGACTTACACAAACATATTCTCCAAAAGTTATGGCTCCAGATTTTTGAGAGTGGTATTATAAAATCAATGAACAGTTACCCAAAACAAACCCCAACGTTCTTAGAAAAATATATTTTATTTTAGATTAAGAAAATATCGTATTACAATTGTTGTGTGTGTGTATAGAATAAGACACGTGAATTTGTCGTTATCGAAAATAAGTTATTTGTTAAAAGGAAAAAAAATGCAGTGGCACTTTAATCCAATAGGAAAAGAAAGCAATAGTATGGATCTTAAGAGTGACAGCTCTTTGGTGGGATTTCTAACATTAAATTCAAGAAGAAAAGAAAACAATAGTATGATTGTAAATGGTGACAGTTTTTTGGCGGAGTTTGAAATAACATCAAAATGCATATAACAATGGAAATTTTGATACATCAGTTGAGGTTCAATATAATTATTTGGCATTGAAGCCAAAGGATAGTTTGGCTTTTTCTTGTACTGAGTTCTACTTTCAAGTAAATTCTTAACAAAAATAAGCTAGACATGTGAAAACAATTTCGCCAGGGTATGTTAGTTCATTTCGGCTTTTTTTGGTGCACTTACAATATGTTCATCAAATGGAAGACGGGAACTGTTAGGATATGGATTAAGGTGCAGAAGTGGACCACGAGAAAACCCTTGGGCCAGCGATGCACGTGGTTAGGGTGTGGTCGGACCCTCCACTTGTCTCCTCTTCGACCCAGTCCATGTCGAACCCACTTTGGGCCACGCAGGTCCCACTTTCAAAGAGCCAACAAATAGTTATCTTTTTCATCCCAATTTACTAGTTCTTAACAAGTTTTTCTTCTTTAAACGTGCAACAGTGTGTCTTTTTTTTTTTTTTTAACACCTTCAACAGTGTGTCTTTATTACTTCATTTTTATAATATTGGTGGGAGCTTGCTTACATGATTTAAAGATTGCTTGGTTTGACAAATGAAAAGGTTTCCAAAACTCACGAGCCATGATTATAAAGTTGATATTACTTAATACTTATAGAGGATCGATTACTATATTTTTCATATATTCCATACATGATGAATTATATATATAAGCATTTTATTATAGAAAGAATAGTGTCACCAATCTTGTAATGCGAATAAACGATGACGGAAAATCTATGACCTTTATATATGATTGAGATATAAATTCTTTCGAATCTCGTTAGATATACTGAGATATTCAGATGGCATTTTCAAACGTGATTGTGTAACCACAATTTTTAGAGAAAGATTTCAGCCGAATAAGAGTTTCACTTATAAGACGAACTATGGTCATATAACTCAATATTGATTGTTTACAAAAACTAATATTATGAGTGTGTCAACCCATTCTATATTTTATTCATGCGCTGTTATTTACTTGAATTACTTCGTTTCATTTATCTCTATTCTGATATAAGTCCAAAGGGGTTAACATAAATGAACGATCTAAGATAATTATAATGAAACATGCGTATATAACATAGATGAACGATCTAAGATAATTATAATGAAACATGCATATACGCAAGAGTTATACGCGGTATCATGCAGACTTATACATGTGTTAATAAACCAGATTGAAAGTGAATTGGAATTAAGAAGATTAACTAATAAGTATATGATTAATACATAATAGACAATGAGTTTGGTCGAATTCACCTAACAAGCTTAATCCGAGATTAGTTGTGGGAAAACCACCGCACTTACCCAATTTATTTGTGACACTCAACATCAAACTTTAAATTTTTTTGTTTTTTTGTTTAATAAATCAAATCTTTAGTTATATGTATTGTCATAACTTTGCTCTAATGCACTATTATTAACGTTATTATGATTTTTTATATGTGGCTCCAAAGCCAAAGCATTTGTAGCCATTACTTAAATATCTTAAGCTACCTTCCTATACAAATATCAATGCCTAAATGCCCCATTGCATCAAGGTCTATAACCCCACTTGGACGGCACATGTCTCAGTCAATTGCAATCCAATTACTAATCATGGGTATTTATTTTTACGAAACTTGATTTAGATTTTATAGATGTAATGAAAAAGTATATGCAGTTAGGAAATTGATTTTCCCTTTTGCTAACAGATTTGATTATTTCATATGTATACAAAAGTCTTAAAATTAATTGCAAGGAAGCTACGATTGTAAGCAATTCTGTAGCTTAACTTTACGATGTCCACATTTTATCAGTACTCATTAGCTATCTCTTTTTTTTAGCATGATAAAATACGTAGAAAACTCTTAATATGAATTGGCAAAGACTAAATTATTAGTGTCTATTCAGTGAGACACCAACGTATTAACATATGAGAAAAAACGATTGTTCGAACTTGTCTTGCAAGAAAATCGGTATGAATGTTACTGATTTTGTCCTTGTAGACTACTTTTCTGTTTTGATAGGATTTCCATAAGCTTTAAACTCACTAAATTTTGATAGCCAGTCTTCAGATGTATCTATTATTTTGACTAATTCTTATGAGTCAGTAACAAAATAATTGCAATATCGCTGGTGACGAGATAAACATTTCACCGCATTATTTTGACTAATTCTTATGAGTCAGTAACAAAATAATTGCAATATCGCTGGTGACGAGATAAACATTTCAACGCTTAAACCAAACATTTTAGTTCGGTATGTAATGGCAAGATTTGCTTACGGAAACCATGAAGCCCGAAAATATCTATTGATCCATATTAAACTTGTAAGACCCACCCCACTCCACTTGTGGTATCTTCGTTCTTCCATGATCCATCCACATGACATATGAATGTGGGTGCTTCAATATGGGTTTTGGATATGCATTCTATAATACTTTTCACTGGTTTGATATCTTCATTGACCAAAAATCATGTAGTGCATTCTCGTGTCGCCAGTCCGATGTCAGTCTAATTGTATCAACATGTGAAAAATCGCGTTTATTGAATAGTTTTTTATTTTAGGTTTTCCAGATATACTAGATAATCCAATGAAAGACTCTAGTTAAATCCTCTTTAGCTATCTAACAACTAAAGATTATGTACCCAAAATTTTTAGCTTCAAATTATTATATATTTCCTCTGTTTCATATTAAGTGTTATTTTAACATATTTTTTTTATGCAAACAATATTATTTTAGAATTCTAATGCAATTTTCAGTTTAATACTAATTAAAATATCTTGATTTTATAAATAATTTCATTTATCCTTAATATTATTTGTTGAATATGTGTAATTAATATAAAAATTAAATATATTATGTTAATTTTTAAATTCTGTGTGAAAATGTCAAAATTGATATTTATTATAAAACAGATGGAATAATAAATAGTAATTATTGATTTTGTTCTCTAACGTATACTGAGAAATAAAATTTGAAACTCAAATTAATGTTGCAAATGGATATGAGACGTGTAAAAGACATCGACTATTCCGCATACTAATAGAATCAAAACATCTTAAATCAGAAAATCACCAATCACTTAAGACAAAACATCATAGTTCAAATTGACTTTATCTGACAATAATCACGTTACTGCATAGAGATAAAGATTGGCTCTACAGAAACTCAAAAGGCAAAGTTTATGAAGTTGGGACAAATCCATTAATGCATTCTTCACGACTTTCCACCAATTTCCTAAAAATCTATCTTTTTGGCCTATGACTCTATCACTCTGCGAAAGTTCCAGATATATTGGAATATGCAAAGTATAAATGAATCTCAAATCATTGGAGTAGTTAACTCAACGGAGGAAAACAAATATCTTTGAGGTATATAGATCGGGTCCGTTTTACATATACGTAAAGATTGCATGAAAGGCAACTTAAATAATTAAGCTAACCAAGATTGTATTATGTACAATTCTCATCGACCTCTAATTTCCGGTTATCATTATATTTAATTAACTAGGATAAGACCCGCGCCTTACGCGGGATGAAGCTATTATTTTTATTATGTTTTGAAAAATGAAACAATAGTTCGGTTTCATTCGGATTATAGGTGCTCAATCCGGATATCGAGTTTCGGTTCGACTCAATTTTTTGTCCGATTTTTTGGTATTTCGATCATTAAAATATAACTACTATTCTAAATCTATATGTACTACAGTTTGATTTGGTTTATATACCATCGGTTTTCAGTTTATTCAATTTTATACCAAAAAACATAATTATTTAGTTTGAGATCATATTATATATTATACAAATATATAATATGATCATATTTAGAGTC